CTCCACTCAGGCAACGTGAGGAGAGGGCTCAGGAGCACACAAGGTGGTAGCCAAACGAGACGCAAGGAGAATCCCTTTCCCTGGGACCTCCACAGCATCGGAAACCCAAGTCGGCTCCACCCTGCCCTCCCGCCCCCACACCACTCACGGGACAGACCCTTTTCCCCCAGCCACAGCAAGAAAAAACACTGAGGCAGAATTCCTCTGAGTCAGGAGCTCTTTCTTTTCCTCTTGTCCTCACCATGACCTCTCTTCATGTCCCAAGATGTCTTGGGCACCTCAGCCATTTAGCCCCGAGAGACTGTACTCCAAGGTCCCCCAGGGAGCTGCTCCCTGCCTCTCTCCCAGCAACCCAATATTTCTGCTGCAAAAGTTAAACAGAGCGGGGAGAAAAAGGCTGCTTTTTACTTTAAAGCAATGTTATTTCAGGACAACCAGGAGAAAGCTTCATAACTGACAGACACAGCCTGCCTAGCCCTGGTCCCAGCTCCTCACTTGCCAGGACAAGAGCTGCATTGCCCACTGTGGGCCTCTGGACCACCTTCTCAAGAGCTTGGCTGGGAGCAGTGCGTTGGGGCATTGCTCTTCAGGGGGGATATAAGGAGAGCCCCCGGGGAACCCACACCTCTGCTGGGACCCCGAACTGGAACAGGACCCAACACCGCGGTGCTGGGAACACGGCCAGGGCTCCCTCTGCCTTGGCAAGGCCGGCCCCTAACGGCAGGAGAGAAGGATTTCAGCCTCCTCCAGAGGAGTAAGGAAGTATTTTTGGACCCGGCAGTGGCTGCAGAAAGCTGGTGAGATGCACACACGGCATCCCATCCGAGATCCCCAAGAGAGGGGCTGAGAAAGGATACAGCCATGTCCAGCATAGCCAAGTCCAGGGTGATCAGGAGCCAGGCCATGGCCCTCAGGACACACGCAGGCTGATGGTCCAGGTGACCATTGCTGCTGCATAGAGGATGCCAGCTGTGGCCGAGCAGAGGGTGGCCCATAACTGCCTCCATGGGCACGGCTTCCCCCTGCACCGAGCCACCCAGAGCCTGCTTTGGAGCCACAGACCCCATCCCCAGCTGGGGACACCACAGCTCACTGGAAAAGGGGCTGCTGTGCCACCAGGCTCAGGAGTCACTGTCATGGCTGAGGAGCGTAAGGGCAGCCATGCCAAGCAAACACTGCTCATGCCAGGGATCCTGGCCATGAGGGCAATGAGGGCAGAGAGCAGCCCCAGGACAAAGCCCAGCACTTCCCTGTTGTCCTGAGGGATGGAAAAGGAACAGAGGAGATGGGGGAACCCCTCCATCACAGCCCACCCAGAGAGGGAGGCTGCAGAGCACACACCGACTGGCAGCAGCCCTGTCCCCACCACCCCTGCCAGCTGCTCCAGGCCCCTCGATGATCTCAGGGACTTCACCCCTTCACCTCAGAGATACGGAGCCCTGGGAAGCCAAGACACCAGCTTTGTCAGCACCAGGGTTGCTAAAGGCAAAGTGCAACCAAACTGAATTCGCCGGTGTTCACCCAGGCTCTGCCCACTGCCTACCTGGCCCTGGGGGACAAAAAAGGGAGCAGCTCACCTTGAACACCTCCCAGAACAGCCTCTGCCAGGCTTCCTGGAGCTGCTCCCTGGCTAGGTGACAACAGAGACCTGCCAGTGCA